GTATATTAAGAAATGTTTCCCCCTAAGAAGATGGTTAGAATCCCGGGGGTGACATATAAAAAAAAAAAAAAAAAAAAAAAAAAAAAAAAATCCAACGACAACGCTCAAGAGAATATCAGTTTTCAGTAAGAAGACAATTCTTGACCTTGGTATTAGAAGAAAAAAAAAAGATCTTTTAGAAATGGTAGCAAATGGAAATGCACAAACTTTCAAATGTAAGCTTGATTGACCCTGACTAGTGATTGGACTACATGAAACTTAAAAATGTCTAAGTACAACAGGGTCATTCTTATAGCAACACATTTTGGGGAAGACAATGCTGACAAGTGAAGAAGAAGTAAATGTGTTATCAGATCCTGTGGCATAGACCACTTGTTTGAGACTCTTATTTTGAAGAGCAAAAGGATGTTCTGGAGTTGTTACCCTGTTGGATTGACAGGCCTAGCTACCAAAGATGTCTTTAGCTGAACATTTTGAGGAAGCCTCCAACATATGTGGAGGTATTTTAGGTACTCAGAACAAAAAAGAGACTAATTTTGTGCAAAATCCTCAAGGTTTGCTGTCTCAGCTAAACAAAATAGCGTATTTACAGTTCTTCAATTAGTCTGGATTGCCTTTTATCATCTGAAGTAAAAAATATAAAATGACTAGACTGATTAAAACTGAACCATATATTTTACAGCCACTGCTCTTTGATAATACCTTTGTTCCCAACATCTGTTATGATATGTTAGTAATGATTTGCTTAAAGGATGAATGATATTAGGAAACCTTGCATTAAGTGATTATAAAGGTGAATGGTGTGGTAACATAACTTGCGATGAGTGAACAAAATATTAAAAAGTGTCACTGACTTTCTGCCCAGGGTTCATAGCAAGCAGAGAACAAATGATGACTAGTCCAGCATCCAGCTACTAAAAAAGTTATTTCCACCTCGGCAACAAGATTTTACTGGACAAGTGACTTTTGGCCAACATCTCCTGTTTTGGCACAGAAACAACCCGGATGCAATTTCTCAATGACTTGGTCACCTCACCACCTCATTGCCATTAAAAAAAAACTTTAATTGTCAAATATATTGCAAGCAACATATTGTGCAACCCGTGATCTACTAGGCTAGGAAGGTTCGGGAAAAAAGTATCCTGAATGATGCTTTTAAAAGGTTATGCCTTGTAGTTCTTAAAGAGATACAGCAATTGGCTAAAACAATAGCAGCGAGTTTAAAGCTTTAGAAAAACCAACAGATTGGAAATAGAGCCCAAAATGATGCATGTCTAGCAAAAATACCAGAGTTTCTAAATCTTGTCCCCTGCTTCATATTGTCTGAGTTTGCAGCAATGCCTTGGTCATACAAACCTTCAAATCCCTGTGAACAATCCCATTAACATGGCAGTGATGGACACTCTCCAGGATCTGCTGTATGCAGTGGCTGAGGAAAGAGAGATGAAAAGAATTGTGAATGGAGGGATAAACCACAGAGAGAGATGGAGGTAGGGAGTTACAGGAGGAGGGGAAGTGATGAAAAGGGGAGAGTGGAAAGATAATTTAATAAAACTGCTTTTTCCTCATATAGTTTACCTGATTGAAGACAGGTCAAATGATAAGAAGACCTTACACATCACATTCAGTCTATGAAATCACATTATAAGGCCAAAGCCATATGACCTGTATGGCAAGAAAGCTAAGACAAAACACATGCACACTCTTTCTGTGCATTTCTCTGGGGAGGCCATCTTCCAGCACAGAGCTGGCACTATAAGCTAGGTTGGTCATGATTAATACTGCAGGCTTTGTGTCATTAATCATTTGTATAAATAACTCAAAGATGCCTCAGAGAGAAGGCAGCTGTACCATACCTCTGAGACGGCCATATGTGAACACACAAACACGGCCTCATATACACACACAATATTCTCTACTGTAGCAGACAAAGATGCATTATGATTGCTATGCTCAGCAGAGTGTGTCTGTTGGAAAGCATGTGTGCGTGTGTGTGAGTGTGTGTGTGTGGTGGGGGGACGTGGGTGCTACCTGGCATCAGCTTCACTGTAGTACTCCCTGGCTACGATGTCCTCAAACAGCTCTCCGCCTGTCACCCTGCAGGGACACAGTGACAACATGAGTTTGTCGTGATCTCGTCCTTCTCGTTACAAACTGACGGAGAGCGTTTACTTGTCCCTTATCTGTACTTATTTGGCACGCATAGTACTTGTAGCTAAAGTTAAACACGAGCAGGCAGCACAGTTTCTCAGAAGTAGTAAGAGGAGATTAAAAGTGTCCCGATTGATTAAAGTCTCATATGTATAAAGTAAACGTATTGGCTTTTTGCTAAAGTTACCAGCAGCAGGTCATTGTTGCTGGGTGAGGTCGAAACAGCCACCAAAGGAAGGCCAGCTGCTGCAGCCTGATTTATCATGTTTCATGTATTTATTAAAGCTAAATTTTTGCTGCTTAGATATTCAGGTCAGCTTCTTTTTCTGTTTATTAATAACATGGTATTATAACTTGACATCTGGAGATAAGATGGATAGATGAAAAGGAGGATCTCTCTGCAATTTCTCAACTTAACATGGGCAAACCTTTTATCCTCTGAATATCCTGCACTTTCAAACACCCATTAAAATGTTGGATACAAATACTTAAGCAAGTCCACAGTTATACAGTTGTCTAAAAAAGTGTTCTAACTTTCATCACAAGTAAAATTATTCTTAACAAAAATAAATAAATAAAAACATCTTGTTGTGAAAAACAGTATCATAATCAGCTTAGGCTTTCTCCAATAAACACTTAGGCGGAATTAAGGTTGTTCTTTGCAACCTCTGTGTGTTTTGTAAAAGAGCTCCAAAAGGTGTGTTTTAAGTGAAAACTAGAAAATTCCGCAGGAATTTTAAGGGGCATGCCAAAGTGTGCCCGT